CTGTTTCTCTTTCAAGAAGGGCTTTTCTAAAAACCTACATGTTGTGTTTTTGTTATGATGTGTTTTCTTTCTTCTTTGCTGAGTAGTTTCACCAACAGGTTGGTTTTAACATAAAGTAAAGTTTCATCTGGGAAAACACAAGGCCTCTGTAAGAGAATAAGACCAAAGATGTTTACCCACAATGCAAAGCTGCAAACACCTTAGACCAACTCAGCACAGTGGAGAAGGGCTGATGGTATGGGCTTCTTAAGTCAAACTCAAGTGAACAAAAACACAAAAGATTCAGTAATTATTATCAATTAAATAAAATGACATGGTTCTCAGCTGATGGTGCAGTCTGACCTTCATGATGGATTTCCTGGGACATTTCCTCTCAGTGACCTTTGACCCTTCCAGATTGATGAGCAGAGTTTGTTCACTTCAGGTTAAACTCAACTTATTTTAGAACCAGTTTATTTCCTGTTCACTAAAACCATCAAATTAAAATGGTTAGATTGTTTTCTCCTTGACTAAACCAGTTCAGCTGCATCTAKAGGCAACATTTAAAGTTTAATTTAACCGAAAGACAGAAACTAAGTARGAGTCCACTTTAAAATGTGAAAAACAAACAGGTGATGTTTAAACAAGAAAAACAGCCTAAACTGTATAATGAGATTTCATGAAGTGGTGAAAAATGCAGGCGCTCTGGCTGAACGTGGATCTGTTAACGCTCAGCACAGTCTGCGGTTCACCAACACCAGTTACAGCAGGAAGACAGAAATGAGCTCATCGGTTTGTTTCATTTGAAGCYTCTGAACAGGCTGGATGAAAATCTGCCCTCTGAGACTCCATCATCCCATCGTTGCATCATTCCTGGATGACTTTTCTCTCTTTAGACTTTAATTCTTTTAATTGTTTCGCCTGAAGACCGGAGCTTACTCCTGTCTAATTGAGATGCAAACATGGATGTTTTCTTTTTCTTTTTGTTTCGTTTCTTCTAAAAAAACAACAGAGAGTGGCTCAGTGAAGCTCGTGGGTAAACACTGATTAAAGCCATGTTCTAAAAAGGCAGCTTTCTTTCCCTCCCCTCACAGGATATTTCTGCTACAAACGGAAAATTATGTCTTAGTTTGAACAAAACAGGCTTGTTACAACATACTGCTCCGAAACATACTGAGAACAAAATATCACAGCAGCAACTGGGGATCATTAAATACATGGAAAAAAACTGACTTCGTTTGTTCTCTGAAGGGACAACATGCTTCCTGCTGCAAAGAAACTACAAAATTCAACAATTTCAGAAGAAAAACATCATTTTAAATGGATGTTTAAGGTTCATATTTCTCTTCTCTTTTTTTAACAACCATCTGTACACTTCAGTTGTCCCATTCTGATCTGATTCTAGCTGTTCAGCTGCTTTTCTTCACTGGATTCTGTGTTTTGTGACGAACTGTGAGCAGTGTATTGCTGAAATAWGCAAGGCCTTCTCTAAARAAACATTTAGACAGAAAGAGCTGTTCTTCTAAAACCTGTTTACTTTTCCGCATTGACGGAGCCTTATATAAGAGCTACCCATGCCAGAGGCACTAATGCACCCCCATACCATCAGTGAGGCTGGCTTTTGTACAGTGTGCTGAAACAATATCTGATTATTTGCTGATTATTTTCTTAATTTTAAATRAGAGCCAGTTGTGGTTTAATTAGTCGCCCCTGAAAATCCTTAAAAGCATTTAGACAATTTTTTTTATTTCATGTAATTTTATGTCATGTTAAAGGGATCCATGTTTAGTTGTAACATTAAACTTTACTTGATAAACATATATTTTAACTGTAAAATAAAGACTGTAAAAATACTGTAGGATGTTTAGTTTTAATAAGTTTTAAACTAAATTTTTAAAAATATATTACACGGACGGAGCC